CTGTGCCAGGTAAGTCCACTACGGGCTCATCATAGCCCGTGCTATTTGCCCCGCTCCTGTGCCAGGTAAGTTACGGGCTCACCATAGCCCGTGCTACTTGGAACCACCTGTTCCGAGTAGCTGAATCTATAACAACAACAACCTTCACTCCTGCCCAGATACCAAGGCGCCTCTCGTTGAAATCCCCTCACAGTTTACCAACCCAATGTCAATCGACTCCAGAGTCCTACTCCTTACTCCAGAGTCCTACTCCTTACTCCTATGTCAATTCCTATTTTCATATTCTCCCACTGATACTGCTTTTTCACTCCACGAATAATGTATGTGTTTAAACTACTTCATCATACATTTACTGTCATTTTTCAAAAGCTTATTTAGGCGTTTTAGAAATGCTATTGTTAATTTTATCAACTCTTAAATAAAGTATAGTTCACGCCAAGCCCGTTTCCTTCTTTGTGTTTCTGGCATGTCCCCACTTTTCACTTCCTCTTATGACTCACAAAGGGACAAATCAATGGTGAAAACGTTATTATGCTGATTATATAGATCAATTATGATAAGGAGATAATAAACCATGACTGGTCAGGTGTATGATGTGTGTGTGTGTGTGTGTGTGTGTGTGTGTGTGTGTGTGTGTGTGTGTGTGTATGTGTGTGTGGTGTGTGTGTGTGTGTGTGTGTGTGTGTGTGTGTGTGTGTGTGTGTGTGTGTGTGTGTGGTGTGTGTGTGTGTGTGTGTGTGTGTGTGTGTGTGTGTAACGAGTGTACTTCTGGGAATGCGAAATAATGACAATTCAAATGAGTTCGTTCCAAGCGCGTGCGTCAACAAATTTGCGTGTGTTTGCGGGTACCCACGTAGATGTTTAGTTTAATGCAATCGCTGTACTCACTCGTCTCATTAAGCATATTTACATTTCAAACTGTGTATTCGATTAGGTTCGGAAACCTTTTAATCGAATTCCTTCCATTAGTTTAGAACTTCAATCCTAAAGAGGTTATTTCTGATACTACCTCTGCTTTGTCAATTAGCTTTAGGATTTTGTATGTCGTTAACATGTCTGCACCATTCAACAAAAAACTCTTTTTCCCAATGTGGCTGAGTCCAGGTCCCGCTGGTCTTTTTTTCACAGCTGGAATCTACAGAGCTCAGGCGAGAGTTTTGTTTCATATTTTTGTACTGTTCTTAGTTTTTGTAGCTGGGGAGGGGATGGGGAGGTGGGTTCCATGCTGGGACAGCATACTCAAGGGTGGGGTATTATAGCACTCTGAAGACTTCTTTGTTAAAGTTTTTGAAGATTATCCGCAGTTGTGGGCCGGTTTGGCGCATGCTGCTGATATCATTTTGCTGACGTGTTCCGGTTATGGCTACTCCCAAGTCTTTCCTCTTCTTCTGAAGTGCGATGCCGCCTTTCTTAATTGTGTGTGTGTGTGTGTGTGTGTGTGTGTGTGTGTGTGTGTGTGTGTGTGTGTGTGTGTGTGTGTGTGTGTGTGTGTGTGTGTGTGTGTGTGTGTGTGTGTGTGTGTGTGTGTGTGTGTGTGTGTGTGTGTGTGTGTGTGTGTGTGTGTGTGTGTGTGTGTGTGTGTGTGTGTGTGTGTGTGTGTGTGTGCGTGTGTGTAGGGGGGTGTCTTGTGTATTATAAATATTTCAGCAATAGTGTGTTGTAATGTATGACTTTCATACAATGATTGAATGCCTTTTTCGAGTGTGTTTCGTCGAGAGTAAGTTCAATTACTGAGAGCCTCTCCCTCAAAGAATTATCACGTCGTAGATTTAGATTCTCATTATAGCACCAATCAAAATTTCAATACAATTTTTGTATTTAATTTTTTTATAATCGGTTTTCTAAACTTTTTCGCCTAATTGCACTGAAATTTTTAGTTTATGATATTGCAAGCACTTCATGTGTAAATTGTAGTGTGTGTGTGTGTGTTTGTGTTTATTCACCTAGTTGTATTCATCTAGTTATGCTTGCGGGGGTTGAGCTCTGGCTCTTTCGACCGGCCTCTCAACTGTCAACTGTTTTTTTGTTTTTGTTTTTTCCTCCACACACAATTTCTATTGTTCTATTGTGAAGACCTTCTGGAATGAATCTCTTGTTCAGTTCTTCACAAACATCCTTGTCATTCTCTGTGTATCTGTTCTCCCCTTTTCTCAGTTTCATCACTTGTTCCTTCACTGCTGTTTTCCTTCTGTGTGTGTGTGTGTGTGTGTATTCATTTGTACCTCGCCATTAAGCGGTATTTAGTACGCAGCATTTATTGGGTGTTTCTGCAGTTTTAAACATAATTCATCATTCTAAACCACCACCCTCCCTATTCCCCAGTGGACAGTGAGTGCCTCTCGACAGCCTCCATGTAGGTGCGACACACAATGGTTCGTCTGGCAGCTCATCTGACAATGAGTGACACTCTATACGGCCTGGAAAATCTAATTAGAGCCAAAAAAATTTGATTGGCTTAAATTAAGCTCTTTTGAAAGACCTGACACCGGGTGATTTTTGTATTTTGTCCGGGCTTAACCACAGGTCATTAAAACAGACATGAATCATTGATCAAATGCTTTGTCTTCACTGTTACGAAAAAAAAGAGAGAATTCCTCGGTCACAATTTTTCCTACGTTTTAGAAATATTAAAAAAAATGGGTAAAAAAATAAATGTTTTATGTACAGATCGAGGCTGTATGGAGACACACAAAAAATATCGCTAATCACAGTTTTAAAATTATGATGTAAAGCTTAATTTGGAAAAAAAAATGTTCAAGGATTAATACTAAATTATTGAATGTGAACTGAATGTGAATTTGCAATTCAGCTGTCAGAACTGTTGCAACAAAGACACGATTTACTTTTCTCTGAAATTTACTACTAAGCATAATAATTAGTAAAGTGGCGGAGAACTGGTAAATTTATTCTAATCTGCAGTTAATTTAGTTTTAAGCTTTTAATAATGAATGGGTGATGAACCAAAATTATGGTGAATTTTCTGGGTGATGAACCAAAATTATGATGAATTTTCTGGGTGATGAACCAAAATTATGATGAATTTTCTGGGTGATGAACCAAAATCATGATGAATTTTCTGGTGAATGAACCAAAATCATGATGAATTTTCTGGGTGATGAACCAAAATCATGATGTATTTTCTGGGTGATGAACCAAAATCATGATGAATTTTCTGGGTGATGAACCAAAATCATGATGTATTTTCTGGGTGAATGAACCAAAATCATGATGAATTTTCTGGGTGATGAACCAAAATCATGATGAATTTTCTGGGTGATGAACCAAAATCATGGTGAATTTTCTGGGTGATGAACCAAAATCATGATGAATTTTCTGGGTGATGAACCAAAATCGTGGTGAATTTTCTGGGTGATGAACCAAAATCATGATGTATTTTCTGGGTGATGAACCAAAATCATGATGAATTTTCTGGGTGATGAACCAAAATCGTGGTGAATTTTCTGGGTGATGAACCAAAATCATGATGTATTTTCTGGGTGATGAACCAAAATCATGATGAATTTTCTGGGTGATGAACCAAAATCATGATGAATTTTCTGGGTGATGAACCAAAATCATGACGAATTTTCTGGGTAATGAACCAAAATCGTGGTGTTTTTTTCTGGTTGAATCGAGGATTTAGGAAAAAGGATTTATTTCTTGTATTTCTGTATATTTTCATACTTCTTGTTTATCTAACCACGTTTTTCTGCGTCTGATTAAATTATCTGCTTTTTTACCATTTCTCCTTCGCAATCTTTATTTTTGTTAATTTTTCTCTCTCTTCATTCTTGCCTACCTCGCTCTTTTTATTATTACTTATCTCTCTGTCTCTCTCTCCCTTCATTATTCTTCTTGTTTTGTTTAATTTCATTTATCTCTATCTCCTGTTCTCCCCTTCTCAAAGTTTTTTGTACCCAGTTAATTAGATATTGAGATATCTCTAGTTTGTATGTGTGTGTGTGCGCGCGCGGGTGTGTTCATATGTGCTTACAGAGGAGGCATCAGCTCCTGGGCTCCGCCTTTCATCCTCCGGTACCGAGATTCTTATTTCTTACCATACTTATTCTTGAAACTGTCTCACCCAGCTCATTCCACTTGCTCACTACACTTACGATAAAAAAATTTCTCTACTTGCTAGAGCGTTAAAATTCCGGCGTTCTAGTCAAATTAAAAGCACCGTAATATTGACGCAGCCTCGATCTATGGAGCGTCAGGCATGATGAGGACGGACGTACGTTCGGACGGACGGACGTTCTTAGGACGTACGCTTGCGGCAAGGGTAAACCACTTCACGTTTGACGCTTGACGTGTATTTGTGTCAGATGTGTCCTTGTGTCAGGTGTGTCCTTGTGTCAGGTGTGTCCTTGTGTCAGGTGTGTCCTTGTGTCAGATATTTGTGTTGGTTGTGACGTGCCTGCATCCATCTCACTTTATTTACAGGTGTGTGTGTGTGTGTGTGTGTGTGTGTGTGTGTGTGTGTGTGTGTGTGTGTGTGTGTGTGTGTGTGTGTGTGTGTGTGTGTGTGAGTGTGTGTGTGTGTGCGTGCGCGCTTGTATATGTGTACTAGTGTTTGTCTGTAAATAATTAACGGCGTTTTATCAGTCTGTTTTTTTTTTTAGCTTGCATTACTAATTATTATTATTCTGTTATTATTGTTATGATTATTGCAGACTGGTTTAAGCTTTTCTGTGTAGAAACAAAATGTAATTTGCGCAGCATTCGAGAAATCAAACTGTGTTTAGCTGAGTTTTCAATGTAAAGTGTTTATACCTTCATGCTCTAAGAGACAGTGCGTTTGCCAGCACACGTAAAAAGGCTGACTAAAGGTTCGCTATGTGCTCAGGAAAAGTGGTCAAGAAAGTAGTCTGTTCCTAGCTGCTAATAAAAGCGTGAGCTATTTTCTCAAGGGGACAGAAGTGTGTGTAGTAGCCGCCGCCGCAGGCTTGACAACCACCTACAAGAAGAAGAAGAAGGAGAGAAAGGTGTAAAACACTCACCGATGGGACCATTCTCCTGCACCTCGCCGAACATGGTGGTGTTGGGGAAGGTGGGGGCGTTGTCGTTGATGTCCTTCACCACCACCGTCACCACCGTCTCCATTGTGTGTACCCGTGGTGGTCTACCACCGGCGGCCGTCCCATTCCTGGTCTCCAAGTGTCCTCCATACAGGTCGAGGCTCTCGCAGAAGCCGTCGTCCTCGTCAACACCATAGGCTCTGTTGAACTCGTCGTTCAGAAAAAAGATGGATTCTGCAGTTCTTTTTCTCCTGGTGGTGCCTCTCGCACCTTGGAAGGTGTCTGAAGCGAGGTTTCCTTTGCTACTGCTACTCTTTCGTCGGAGGCGGCCCCTGGATGTGATCATATTTTGATTTCTGGAGATGTCTTCCGCTGGCCAGAAAGGAAAGCTAAACGAAATGGTTCCAGGATAATCCTTGGATGTCTTTAAACTAGTTGTTTTTTTCGTACTAACCTCGTATAGATTCTTCAGGCTTTCCTGAGTGTTGGTAGCATATGGCCAATAGTTGTTGTTGTCAGAAGGAACAGGGGTTGAATCTTCTTGAGAAACAACGATTCTTGAAGCTTCCTGTATACCTGAGATGTGTTTCCTGTTGCCATTTCTCGACTCCTTCAATTCTTCAAGTGGTTTCGTACCTGAAATTGTCTTTGAGGCTACCGAATATCCCGAAGAATTGTTTCGGAAGTTTGAAAAATATTTATTTACACACTTTAAAGGATCCGTTTGCATTATCGTGTCAACGTTCGGTAGCAAAGGGGAAATTTCTTCGATTCTTAAGACATCTAGCGATTGTTTGAAATATTTGGCTTTTCTTTGTCTAAAAAGTGGATGCAAGGTTCCATGACTCCACCTTTTGACCGTGGCTGAAGTTCTTCCAGGCAAAAAGAATTTAAAGGAAGTACTTGGCCGACCTCGGTACTTAACCCTGGCACCAGACATTGACAAATGTCCAACAGAAGGTCTGCCTTCATTAAAAGATTTTAACCTCGCCTCTCGTCGTGTACGCTGGGCCCTGGTGGCAGCAACTCTCAGCCAAGCTCGACAGAAGCTGGACAGAGGAAACTCATTCCGTATTTGTCCTGAAGTTTGTCGTTCTCCTCCGTCATACGGCCGTGAGTAGCCTGTGTCGACCCTATTGAGACCATCTTCAGGATGTTCCTTAATCCTCCTTGACCACTCTCGGTGGCTGCCAGGACCCATTACTTCCGATTTACGACTTGCCTCGAACAGAATCATGGCCTCCTTTCCCAGTGGCCTATTGGCTCGTAATACATCATCTTGGTCCGTCCTGACGCTCTCTTCCTTGGCCAAAACGCTCGAAATTGCCGGCTTATAGTCGTGGTAAGGAATGTGATATTCATCTCTAGATATTTCATTTTCTTGATCCGTATAACGATCAGTCTTGAAAATCTTTTCCTTTAGATTCATGTGTATTCCAGACCGGGGGGAGTTTTGCTCGGTGGGGCCACGGAAGCCGTAGAGCGTTGTAGGGTCCTTGTGTTCTCTTGTTTCACTGGCTTCTCTCTTGTCTCTGAGCTGAGAAAGTGTGTCTGTGTACTTGTACCAGAGAACTGGTAATGCTGGTGATCGAGGTGCTGCTGGTGTTGGTGCTCCAGGTGCGGGTGGCGTCCCTGGTGGTGCCTGGGTTCCAGGTTTTGTTGGAATTCCAGGTGCTGATAGTGGTGTTGGTGTTCCTGGTAGGTGTGGTGGTGCGGGTGTTCCAGGTTGCGATGGTGCTTCAGACGCTGTTGGTGTTCCACGTGCTGGTGCTCCTAGTGGTGCTGGTGTTCCAGGAGGTGCTGCTGCTTCTAGTGGTGCTGGTGTTCCAGGAGGTATTGGTGCTCCTAGTGGTACTGGTGTTCCAGGAGGTGCTGGTGCTCCTAGTGCAGCTGGCGTTCCAGGAGGTGCTAGTGCTTCTAGTGGTGCTGGTGTTCCAGGGGGTGTTGGTGTTCCTGGTTCTGCTAGTGCGGCTCCTCCAGTTGGAGAGTCTTCGTCGGCCTGGCGGGTGTGCCTGGTGATGGAGTTGGAGGGATTCTGCTGACCACCGCTCTTCCTCAGACGTTTCCATGGAGCCTGGCCGTCCTTGACCTGGACCCTCACCTTCCAGACACCCTTGCCGTTCGGCGGGTCACGATCCAGTGCCTGGAACGCCATAACAATAGAGAAAAGATTAATAGCACAGAGTTCCCAATATAGATCACTGGAAGAAGGTGCAAACCTATCCTTTTTAGGTGCAAAAATGCACAGTGGAATAAATATATATATATATATATATATATATATATATATATATATATATATATATATATATATATATATATATATATATATATATATATATATATATTCCCAACACAGAGAAAAGATAAAAGGGACATATCTTAGGCTTTGCTGTTATAATCTGTAATTTACATGAAACTTTGAATTCGTTTAGTTTCTCCTTTTGTAACTACCCATTCATCTTGGCTTCCATCTTTCTAAGTTATGATATTTTTCTTTCCCCCTCTTTTCATAATACCTCTTTCTTCCTGTTCTCTCCTACTCCAACTGTCCGCATGGAAATGTAGGGTGGAATGAGGGGGGGAAATTGAGAAACTGTGAATGGATGTGTGTGGAGGGGATGTAGGAATGCAGAGTGTGGAGTGTGGAGTGAAGGTTAGTCTTTGGAATTACGGAAGGGAGGGAAAGGGAGGGTAGGATGGGAGGGAGATTGCGTGGAGGATAGATCTGGGATTGGAGCGGAGAAAGTGACGTGGTGGGTAGGCAGAAGTGTGGAGGGAAGGATAGGTATGAGCAAGAAGGGGGGAAGGGATAGAAATAATAAGGTGGGGGGGGGGGGGAAGTGGTGCGAAAGTGAATTAGGGCTGTGGAAGATGGCGAGAGCGGCCGGGTACGAGGGAGCTGAAAGTGAGAGCGGACGGGTGTGAGTGTGTGTGAGTGTGAGTGTGAGTGTGAGTGTGGGTGTGAGTGTGGGTGTGGGTGTGGGTGTGAGTGTGGGTGTGAGTGTGGGTGTGGGTGTGGGTGTGAGTGTGAGTGTGGGTGTGAGTGTGAGTGTGAGTGTGGGTGTGAGTGTGAGTGTGAGTGTGAGTGTGAGTGTGTGTCCCTGTAGCCTGGTTCTCCCTGCGTTTGTGTCCTTTATATCAACACTCCTTCCGTCACGTAATGGTCTATAACCCGACCCATACACTCGAACCTCACGTTTATTTCATGTGTGTGTGTGTGTGTGTGTGTGTGTGTGTGTGTGTGTGTGTGTGTGTGTGTGTGTGTGTGTGTGTGTGTGTGTGTGTGTGTGTTGGGTTACTTGTTTCATACACGTTATTGTGAGTTTTTATCTGCATAATGGTTAATTATGTTCACACGACTCTCAAGTCGCCCCTCAAAAAAAAAAAGAAAGGAAAAAAAAGATCAACACATTTTTTTTCAAAATGGCACAATTTTAATTTCCAATTGCGCCTTTTGGAAAAAGGTGTCACAAGCCAAGCCTGGCCTCGGGCTGGGCTTGGGGAATTATAGAACTCCCTGAACCCTCTCCAGGTATCTCTTTCTAATCTTCAAATCACTTGCTAGCTACTGGTATGATGAAAAGTATAACGGTAAACTTGGTTTGCAATTATATGTGTGGTATTGTGGGTCACAAATGTATGTGGATTGCATATATGTAACTAGCCATACGTGTGTGCATGTGTGCAAGTTGCTTGAATTATTGCAGTATCTGTATGTTGTTATTACAAGCCTGTTGCTAAAACAGTTCCATAATTTGGCGAATTTTGGATGGAGCGACCATCCAAATTGCTCTGTTTGTATAAAGGGAACATTATAATTATAATGATAAGGGCTGAAATATTATTATTACTCATTATACCATTATGTCACTGTGTCAGCATTCTGAGCACCAATTACGTAAATCTAGTATTAACTTCAACGGAAAGTTTTAGAAGATTGGAATGAAAATACTCAACATTTTAGGGGGAAATATTTGAGATTAAAAATCATTCGGTAATCATACGCCTCTCTTACCCGGAGCTGAATTAATTCTCCCGTACGGGAATTGACGGAAAAGAAAGCGTCATTAGGGGCGTATCCATCAACACCGTCCCCACGGAGGCTATACAAGAGCCCTGCCTCGTCTACCTTGTCCTTGTCGCCAGCTTCGACCTGCAAAGAAGAACAGCAAGAAAGATTAGTTCGTGTCTTGGGAGGCAGAGATTCCTTGTGACTTCCTTCCTTGATTTCCACTGTGTATGTGTTGGGGGGGGGGGGGCATGTGTTTGTCAGGGCTGTCTGTGTTGTCGTTGTTGTGTCAGTTTTTGTTGTTTGTACTTGTTGTTGCTTTTGTTGTCGTTGCTGCTATTGTAGTAGTTTTTGCTGTAGATATTCTCATTGCTGTTTTTTTTTATCTGATTATTCTAAAGAAAATGTTTGAAACTTGTCTTTTAAGTGATAATTGTTGTCGAATAAGTTGTAGCTGTGGATTTCTGCTGTGATAGTTGTAACTGTGTGACTTGAGTTGGTTGCAAATCAACGTTTGTATCTTCGATTTCGTGCTGAAAATGACTAATAACGATCTGTATGTGTCGAATATTGGTTTCGAACACGTTGCAAACGTGCTCCGAATGTATTGGTGTTCCAAGTCAGTTGTAAATAAATGTGGTATGTCTTTAGAGAATGCAAGTCTACTTAAATATTTAGAGTAGATTGAAACACGTTGAAACAAAGCTACTTTATTTATGCAGAAGAATGTATATGCGAGTAGAAATTCTCATGAAATTGTTTTGTAAAAGTTATTAGAGTATTACCTGAATACAAATACACGGGAAATTATTTAAATAAGAGATGCCTACTTGATGTAAATTCCTTAACAGCTGCATAAATGATGTGATATTTATTGCTGAACTTATTCCATCTTCATTAATAGCAGCGCCTCATTATCAGATGAATGGATGTACATAGACTTGAGACACAGGTATACACTCACACTCAATGGCATACACACACACACACACACACACACACACACACACACACACACACACACACACACACACACACACACACACACACACACACACACACAAACACACACACACACACACACACACACACACACACACACACACACACACACACACACACACACACACACACACACACACAAACACCCACACACACACACACACACACACACACTCACACACACACACACACACACACACACACACACACACACACACACACACACACACACACACACACACAAGCTACGAGTGGCATGCCTCAGGAATCAGTATTGGGACCCATACTATCCCTGATATATGTCAACAACCTAAAAAAGAAAATAATTTAATTTGTCATCATTGTTTGATGCTAAATTGATGAAGAGAATTAGATGCAAAGATACTAGGAGGGGAGAGACTACAGTAGATATAGCGGGACTCCAACGGTGCTCGGTTGGAGAAGGATAGGTGAAGAAGGGACAGTAGATCCCAGGGACAGTAGATCCCAGGGACAGTAGATCCCAGGGACAGTAATCCCAGGGACAGTAGATCCCAGGGACAGTAATCCCAGGGACAGTAATCCCAGGGACAGTAATCCCAGGGACAGTACTGTGTATCTTGACAATTCCTCCCTCAGTCACTCAACTTTTCTCTCTCTACGTTAACTCTTCCGCTTTGCTGTGTAAATTAATGGTAATAAATTTCACGTTGAATTTCCTCTGGGCTCCTACTGTTTATCTTCGCCAGATACACCCAAGTGTACCGAACAAGTCCCTGAAGTTTTCATTGGTACTAAAGTTTTCCTCCCGGTGCTGTCCCTTCTTCTCTTTCCACTTAATATCATGGTTTGAAGGTCCCCGTTCTAGAGAAATTAACCAGCAGAATGGAGCCTTCAGATCCTGGTAACTGTCTCCTTCTCCTGTTAACTATTCTCTTCATATTTCTGCAAGAAGCCAAGCTAAGTCTGCCGCTTCTAAAAAGTACTTCTTACTTTAAAAATAAGTGATGAGTTGTTATCTTTAAGACTACGAGAACTCTCCATGGGTCTCTTGCTAAAAACTTTCGTAATTTCTGCCAGTCTCTCTCTCTCTCTCTCTCTCTCTCTCTCTCTCTCTCTCTCTCTCTCTCTCTCTCTCTCTCTCTCTCTCTCTCTCTCTCTCTCTCTCTCTCTCTCTCTCTCTTTCTTTCTCTCTCTCTTGTTTAGTTACGACGGTTTCATAGCTGTCATTTCCTCGAGCCAATCTTTCCCGTGCTCTCTCTTCTTTTCATTCCAACTTGGATGTTTCCAGCCTTCCTGATGCTCTCCTCTGGTCAACACATGCCTCGCTTTTGTCATCTTAACTATGCTGTGTGCTCGCTCTGTGCTCCCTTTCTGTCCCCCTTTGTTTTGCCCGGCCCCAATGCTCCCTGTTTCTCCATGTGTGAGCCTCTGAGGCGACACCCACCACATCAACACCCACCACACACACCACACCAACACCCACCACACCAACACCCACCAACACACCAACACCACCACACCAACACACACACCCACCACACCAACATACACACCCACTACACCAACACCCACCAGCCCACCAACACCCACCACACCAACACCCACCACCACACCAACACCCACCCCACCAACACCCACCATATCACTAGCACCAACCTTAGTAATAGCGAGTGGCAGATCGCGATCATCTTCCTCGATGACGGTGACTTGAGGGTTGGGTCTGAGGAAGTACGGGGTGTTGTCGTTGACGTCGGCCACCAGCACCTGCACCAGCGTGTGTACCAGCTCCCCGGCGCCCTCTGCTGACACCACCAGCTCGTGCTGCGTCAGGAGCGAGGCAGTGTTAGTGGCGACGGTGGTGGTGTTAGTGTGGAAGCAGCGGTTAGTGGTGGGTTGGTGTAGCTTGAGGTTATATATTAGGAGGAGGTGATTGGAACTGGTGTGGTGGTTGTGGTAGAGGGAGTGGTTGTAGTAGGAGAGGTGATGGTGGTGGAAGGAATGGTGTAGGTGGTGGTGATGGTGGAGAAAGTGGTGAGGGTGATGCTTGAGGTGGTGGAGTGGTGGTAGTGGAAGGGATGGTGTTAGATATGTTGTAGTGGCTGAGTGGTGGTGGTGGTGGTGAGAGATATAAAGAGTCAGTGATTGGTGGTAGCGGTGATTGTAGTGGTGTTACAAGCGCGGGTGTGATTGTGAGACACGAGACCATCTTATTAGAAAACAGGAGATGTGTAAATCTTAGAGATGAAGCTAATCATGACGAAACCATTCACCATTCTCTATACAAACAATAATATATAATCTCTCTAATCAAATCAATCTTAGTATAAGCACGATGAAAGACGCATTAATGAAACAAGGAAATTGTAGATATTAAGAAGTAGTTTACGAAACATATATAAAATGAAATATTCTCCCAAACGTTGCTGGGGTTCGAACCCGTGAATTGACAGTAAGGACTGAAACTGTAACCGTCGACCACCATAAACAGTTCATCAAACAGTCAATTCATTAAAGGAAACAACATCACCTACAAAGGTTATTTTAAAAAATAAATGACCTTGAACCAGGAAAAAAAATGTTCAATAAGTTAAAAAGTCGCCTCCCGCACATAATATACTTATAATGCTAAATGCATTGTTCTATGTACATTTTTTTTGTCTAAATATTTTTTTTGGGGGGAGACATGTATTATTTAGGGTGTAAAAGTGAGGACGTGGCGGTGGTGACACCATCATTATGGAGAGTGAACGTTCTCCTGTGAGAGTGACTCTTCCCCCTCACTCTCTCTCCCTCACACGTCCCCTCATTCTCACACGTCCTAATACCTCTTCCCTCATTCCTACCGTCATCACTACCCACCATCCTCGCGTCACTCACACCTCGCCCTAAATATGAGCTTTGTACCAGGATATGGACGGAAGGATGAGAGAGAGAGAGAGAGAGAGAGAGAGAGAGAGAGAGAGAGAGAGAGAGAGAGAGAGAGAGAGAGAGAGAGAGAGAGAGAGAGAGAGAGAGACGGTTACTCTTATAACATTTCACACAAAATTTTATCGGTAAAAATCGCGATACTGAGACAATACGGAGAAAGGAAGCCTCGAAAAATAAGTGACACGAATATATCGGACGAGAACAGAATATATTTATATATATTTTCCAACTCCTGAAAATGTATTCTCCTTTCCATATTTTCCTCTCAGGTTTTTATTTTTATGAATAATTCTGTATTTTTTTTTTGGTGTAATGAAATTATTATTTTAATTAATATTGTACTTTTAATAAATGTTGAATTATTAATTGAATTAACTCCTGAACCCCTGGATGGCGTTCAGGAGTTCTTCTACTTCCCAAGCTCAGCTCGAGGTTCGCTCGGGTTCGATTCCCACCAGATTTACAATTTCGTATTACTGAAGACAATGGACGTATCTACATCGTGGTTCTTGGAGGGGGGGGGGGGGGGGAGGGGGAGGGGGAGAAGGCGGGGGGTGGGGTGGGGAGGGGGGGAAGGCGGGGGGGGGGGGGGAGGAAGACAAACAAATTAAAAAATAATATTAATCAACATTTATAACAAAATACTTGAAGTTATCTTGAGATGATTTCGGGGCTTAGCGTCCCCAAGGCCCGGTCTACGACCAGGCCTCCTTTTTGTTACACACCCCCAGGAAGCAGCCCGTATCAGCTGTCTAACTCCCAGGTACCTATTTACTGCTAGGTAACAGAGGCATCAGGGTGAAGGAAACTCTGCCCATTTGTTTTTCCGGTGGTGCCGGGGGATCGAACCCCGGTCCCTAGGTCCACGAATCTAGAGCGCTGTCCACTCAGCCACCACCCACCACCCACTCAGTGTGGGTGTGTGTGTGTGTGCGCGCGTGTGCGTGTGTGTGTGCGCGCGCGCGTACTAGGTTTACAAATTAATGTCATAACAAATCCTCACTAACTCATGTCAATGCGCTTCCCTTTGTGTTAACCTGTTTGGAGTCTGTTTGGATGTGTTTGTGTATGTGTGTGTGGAAGGGGTGGGGGAAAGGGGAAGGGGGGTGAGGGATTTGAGTGAATATGAAGAGAAGCCTTTGGTCGACGGGATCATAGAATGAGGTCATGCGATTAGCGAATATGTGAAGATATTATCAGATAAAATATATTCAAGAGTCTTGAGTGCAACACTTAGAAGGGGAACATTCTTGAGTGCATCACCTGAGAGTGGTACATTCTTAAGTGCAACACCTGGGAAGGGGAACATCTGGAGTCCAGCAGCTGGAACTGAATCAATTAAAGTGATGTGTTATCAAGATTCGAATCCATATAGAATCCTATTGCTTCTGGGGAAAGCGGATTGGGCTTTTTAAATGTCAGATAAAAGGACATGTGAGTGTGTGCGTATCTGTGTCTTAACACACAGGTACTTTTTTTCTGTATGCACAATTAGGTGTATACACACTCACACATACACACACGTGTGTGTGTGTGTGTGTGTGTGTGTGTGTATCCGAGCGTTGTCCACTCGACTCGCGTCTGAGTAGACTGCGCTCTGTCGCCGTAGTCCAAAGGACCCGGGTTCGAGTCCCGACTGGGACAGAAAGTAATGGGGGGTAGAATGTATTTCACTTGATGCCCCTGTTACCTAGCAGTAAGTAGGTACCTGGAGTTAGACAGCCGTTACGGCCTGCATTCTGGGGGATGTGTTTTGTGTGTGTGTGTGTGTGTATTTTGAAGACAAATATATATACAGTTGATATAATAAGTGGAAAAATAGTTCGGTTAGAAATTGCGAGGTTCAAGAGCTAATAGCTCGATTCTGCAGGCACAAATAGTAAACGAACACCGTGTTAATTTAGCAGTGGTAATCATAGCCTCTATACACACACAGTCATAACAACTCATCACCTTCCCCACTCTTCCCATTTTCTTCTATTCTAAAGCAACAGCTTACAAAACCTCACCTCCGAAAATTGAATTGAATCCTCTATTTGCTCTGGCTTTAAAACTCAAAAATTTCCGACTCTCTCTCTCCATTCTACTCGCCAAAGGCCAATAAAACTCAAACCAATAACCTTTTGCGTGGTATCTTGGCCGACTCAAGGAATCTTTAATGTGGGTTTAACGCGGAGAACTGCTCCATCAGTTTGTGTTCCAGGCTCTCATCGCTGGGGTCTCTGAGGCATGCTGCTCTCATGGAAAGTCTCTATTATGTTATGGTTATCTTTGGGTTTAATTTGAATGATTGGCAGTGATATAATTTTGTTCGTGACTCTTTTTTTTCTCTCCATATTCCTATTTAATTGTTCTGTTGCTGACTCTTAACCGCGCCGAGCTATGACCCACACTGCTTAAGATAGCTAACTATACAGTTATCTGTAGATAGCGTAACTTGGGGGTACGCTATCCTGGTGTACACTGCATCGGGGATACAATAGCCTGTGATACACTGGCCGGGAGTACACTACCCCTGGGGTGCATTTGAGTCTTTGGCATCTTCGCAGGATGACTCGTTGTTGGTGACTGTATCTTAAGTCCTTATAAAGGAGACACAGAAAATCTCAAGCCACTCGTTAGCGTGCCAGACCCTTGGGTCATCATCTGTCATATGCTACAACAATATCCACGACTGTATGTATGACACGTGTATCCAAGGCTATGTATATATGTATCTTACTGTTACATGCATACCCTTGGATATGCATGTAACAGCACATAAGTACTGTTTCTGCAGTAACTGTACTTACCTGCTTCCCTTTCTGAAACCAAATTACATTTGATAGGGAAATTGTTAAAGATTTTAATTTTAAGGAGATTTTAATTTTAATTTTAAGGAGATTTTAAAGTCTCGCATAATTTTTTTTTAAGATATTTCTACCATTTGATAGTAATGGTGTTGGTCTGTAACAATCGTCTTGCAATGTTGTCTCCTTATTTAAAAAAAGCTCTTGTGATATATGGACGGGTTTATATAGTTATAATTTATTTTAAGACTCTTAATAATATATAATTATTAAGAGATCTATCTCAAGAGAACAGGTTGACGGGAGTCAGTCTAGCAACTCTAGAGAAGAAATTACACAATAACTGGCAGGAGGAGAAGAAAGGAGAAAAAAGAAAATTGGCAAACTGAACAAGAGCAGCCACTGTCGATTGAGAACGGAAGTGAATAAAAGAAATGTAAGGATGGGTTCGCAAGCTTTACGGATTGTCAACAAGAGGAGTGTACTGAAAGAAGATGTCACGGAGGCCACAATGTCGAGAGTAAACACGACACAACTCCAGTGTCAAGAGAAATAACACGAACCACCCACACATACCTGGAAGGTGGAGCCCCACGTTCATAGAGAAAGATAAACAGACGCACATATTCAGCAGCACTATTCTTGTATCTCTCTCTCTCTCTCTCTCTCTCTCTCTCTCTCTCTCTCTCTCTCTCTCTCTCTCTCTCTCTCTCTCTCTCTCTCTCTCTCTCTCTCTCTCTCTCTCTCTCTCTCTCCAGTGTATTTCCCCCGTAACGATGCTCAGTTTGATGCATTTTCTGATGGTTGTATTCGCCAAAATCGCGAAAAATTCTAAACCCGTGTACATCTCCCCTTTACATTGAAGTTGGGATTAGTTGAAATAGTTTTTATACTGGTTCGCTCGAGAATTTAGAAACTATCGTCGAAAATTAGAATCGTCCGAGTTATATGCTTCTGGATTTTGTTTTAACTTGTGAAATGTGTATATTTACACACACACTCACACACACACACACACACACCACACACACACACACACACACACACACACACACACACACACACACACACACACACACACACACACACACACACACACACACACACACACAGGTGTGTGTTCTAACTTCAGAACTAGGTGAGTACAACTAGGTGTAGAAATGGTCGAACAAGTGGTTGTTAGAGTTCAACCCAAGCAAATGTAAGGTAATGAAGATAGGTGTAGGAAGCAGGAGACCAGGAACTAGGTATCATTTGAGAGATGAAATACTTCAAGAGTCAGAGAGAGAGAAGGACCTGGGGGTTGATATCACGCCAGACCTGTCCTCTGAAGCCAATATCAATAACATCAGGAGAAGGAATGTATTCCTTCTAAAGATATAATAACATACGGAAGTATTCAAGGAAATTCCTGTTTCAATTCTTCCTCCGTGATCTGATACTGTCACATTTTTTCATCATATATATATATATATATATATATATATATATATATATATATATATATATATATATATATATATATATATATATATAACTGAAAACTCATACCTCAGAAGTGACTCGAACCCATACTGACTGAAGAACTCTGCAACTGATGTAACAGGATCCCTTAACCACTCGACCATCACGACCGGACAAAAGAGGATGGTAGCTGAGGCTAATTCCCCATCCTCCCGCCGGCACTCTGATGGTAAACTTGGGCCCAAGAATACCATTTATTCTTAAAATAAGTTCACACAATCTTAGTTGACTTACTGGAAAGTTCTTAATCATCTTGAAAGTCATATTTATGCTTACTTCAGCATATTTACAAAAGTTATAATTAATATACCTGGAAAAAGAATGATTTGAACATTACTTTATGTTCAACAACGTGGCCCAGGCCATGCAGTCACTGAAGCAATACTAAACTCAAACTCACAGTTACTGAATCACCTGAACTTTTTTTTCATAATGATCTTAAAAGAATTCTTATTTAAATCCTAAATCCTATTTTTTTCATACAAGAATATCTGAAATTGAAAGCAGTGGACTCGTTTTGTAATGCAAAAAAAAAAAATATATATGTATTTACATTTCAATTTGGGCACTGTAGTTGGGTGCGATAACAGTATTTCTATTTACTGCATAAATTTTAGTGCCCAAAAATTTGCTCTTTGTTTCAGAAAAGCATATATATATGTATATATATATATATCTATATTAATATATATATATATATTATAATATATATATATATATATATATATATAGAACTTTAGAACACTTTCCCACCAGGAGACTCGAACCCTAGCCAGCACAGAAGCCTTCCAGCAACTGGCATAACAGGTACGCCTTAACCCGCTCCACCACCCGCTCAGACCCTTAAAAGAGATGGTAATTTCGGAGTATTTAAATACACCAAAGATCACCACCTCCCAAGAGCACTACAGCAAGTGAGGGGTCATTTAGACGTTAATTTCATCAAGTCCCTGTTAATATGGGAAGACACAGTGTCTATGCTTAAGGCAATATATATATATATATATATATATATATTATTAGATATATATATATATATTATAATATATATATATATATGTCGTACCTAATAGCCAGAACGCACTTCTCAGCCTACTATTCAAGGCCCGATTTGCCTAATAAGCCAAGTTTTCATGAATTAATGTTTTTTCGTCTACCTAACCTACCTAACCTAACCTAACCTAGCTTTTTTTGCTACCTAACCTAACCTTACCTATAAATATTGGTTAGGTTAGGTTAGGTAGGGTTGGTTAGGTTCGGTCATATATCTACGTTAATTTTAACTCCAATAAAAAAAAATTGACCTCATACATAGAGAAAAGGGTTGCTTTATCATTTCATAAGAAAAAAATTAGAGTAAATATATTAATTCAGGAAAACTTGGCTTATTAGGCAAATCGGGCCTTGAATAGTAGGCTGAAAAGTGAGTTCTGGCTATTAGGTACGACATATATATATATATATATATATATATTATATATATACATATGTCGTACCTAGTAGCCAGAATGCACTTCTCAGCCTACTATGCACGGCCCGATTTGCCTAATAAGCCAAGTTTTCATGAATTAATGGTTTTTCGACTACCTAACCTACCTAACCTAACCTAACCTAACTTTTTCGGCTACCTAACCAAACCTAAACTATAAAGATAGGTTAGGTTAGGTTAGGTAGGGTTGGTTAGGTTCGGTCACATATCTACGTTAATTTTAACTCCAATAAAAAAAATTGACCACATACATAATGAAATGGGTAGCTTTATCATTTCATAAGAAAAAAATTAGAGAAAATATATTAATTCAGGAAAACTTGGCTTATTAGGCAAATCGGGCCTTGCATAGTAGGCTGAGAAGTGCTACTAGTGCTGAGAAGGGCTACTAGGTACGACATATATATATATATATATATATATATATATATATATATATATATATATATATATATATATATATATATATATCTATATATATATATATATAATATTTTGCTCCCGTTCCCTGTATATTACTGCCCTCAGGCTGCTCAGAGGGAAAGATGTTAATCAACTCTCTCTTTAAAAGCGAGTGGATGAACTGCAGAGATAGAAAGCGAAAGCTAAAGAGAGACAGATATAAGAGAGATAAGAGAGAGAGAGAGAGAGAGAGAGAGAGAGAGAGAGGGAGAGGAGAGAGAGAGAGAGAGAGAGAGAGAGAAGAAGAAACATCAAGGGGGTTAGAACAAAAATAGTGTAGCTATGTATAATTATTATATTTTATAAATCCTTTTCTCAATACTACATTCGCTCATTAATTTGACGATAGTGATCACCTTTCAGAGTGGTGATTATAAAAAGAGGGACGGAGGTTATCGTTCTCATTAGGGCAGGTGTGAGGACATGAGGATAATCTCGTATTTCTTCTCAGATTGTTCAATTTGATGCTCGGATTGTTCAGTGAGGCTTCATGAAATGCCCTTAGGGGAATATTTTAATAATATAATTTCAAATATTAATAATTATATATGTATTCGCATGTCTAATGCTTTACATCACATGATGTTGAGGTCTCCTAACTCAGTCCTCTTGTTCACTCTCCCTCACACTGTGTGGCTGCTGCCTTACGTCCCTGTTACTAGTCTCAGGACTGGATTTATATCCATACCCTCTCCTTTTATTGTTGTCATTCTGGGTGAGCCTCACAATGTTACCGTATGCACACTAATGACACTGTAAAAGACATCTCGAACGCTGGTTGTGTAGGACGGACGTATTTATGTGTGTAAGTTAGATTAGCGTTTTAAAACCATTACGATCACCTTCTATGGTTGAGTGTTCAATAAATCACTGAACTATATGTTTAACAGATCTCTAACTCTGTTCATGGAGGACAGCAGAAAATGTACATAACTGGTTAGTATTGTAAATGTGGCCACGTCTGTGGTAGAAATAATAATAAAAATAATAATAATAATAATAATAATACTAATAATAATTATAATAATAATAATAATAATAATAAAGTGTTACCATATCAAAACAATATGTATCATACTGTAAGTGGAAGAACAGAATAAGAACAAAATGTGGCAGTTTTTCAATAAGCTCTAATGGGTGGATTCTTGTAATGTAGATTCATTATCAAGCAAATAATATTTTTGTTCACACAAGTGTGTATAGGAACACCTGACTCCTGTTAGTAGGCTAAGAGCGTCCCTTTCCTATAGCTCTTGGAAAGCTAGTTTTCTAGCTTTCTAGAAAGAAGAAAGTTTTCTTGAAAGCTACTAGTTTTCCCTGGAACACGACCCCACCAGTCGGTTAACAACCATGTACCCAATTACTGCTGGGTGAGCAACGGCAGGATTGCCGTTGGATTGTCACCTTGTCAATCTCCCTGCCCTGGAATCGAACCCTGCCCAAATCGCATGTAAGGCGCGGCGAGGGGAAAGTGCCACCCCTTCGCAATGATCTATATTCGTGTTTTTCTGTGTTTTGTTGTGTTCTGTTTCCCATTAATGAGATGGAAGTATGTGGTGCTGATATGAACTAACGAGACTCACGATCCGCGCCCGGTCCCAAGACTTACTATGGAAACACACTCTAGCCCTTCAGAAGTCATACCTTCAAGCGCCACGACCCTGACACCAATGACAGCCACATCAATGACAGCCACATCAATGACAGCCACACCAATGACAGCCACACACCTAACAACTGGGTCAAACCCTGCGTCTGTCTTTCGTTTTTCAGCAACTCTCCTGAAGCTGCTCATCAAACTGAACCTAATCCCGCCCCACCTTCCCTCACCCAGTAGCATCGTCTTTTCATGTATATCGTATTGTACCATCATAATCCACGCTTGAACTCATCAAAACTAACACCTGAAACCATAACATTCATGACAATGTCCATCAGTGTACCTGTACCCACCACAGCTCATGACTGTACCCACCACAGCTCATGAATGTATCCATCAGAGCTCATGTCATTTGTCCTAAAAATGCATTCTTGTACCCTTAAACCCCCCCCACCCCCCAATCCAGTAACTTTAAAACCTCTTCCGTATCCACTAAAAACCGATCCATACCCACGTACCCATCAAGTTCTACTTCTCTACCCTTATAAGCCCGTCCCGTACCCATCGAAATCCATACCGTGAAAAGCATGTAAATATTCTCAAATTATTGAGCTCAATGTCCTGGGAATTGCGCTCCTGGCGAACCATTTGGAGGGTAATTAGGCGAGGCCCTCGGTAAAGGGGACACACTCACTTAACCACAGTCAAAAGCGGTGAGCGCACGCACTCTGAGCACAGTGAGTTACGCAGGAATTACACGCACTCGAAAATCCGAAGCTAATTTTCCATGCAGGAGATAATGCCGGAGCGATAAACCCCGGCCATGAACGAGAGCGTATTAGCATACGTACACCGTGGGCGTATTGTATGTTGACACGTACACGGTGTGCGTATTGTGTGTTGACACGTACACTGTGTGCGTATTGTGTGTTGACACGTACACGGTGTGCGTATTGTTCGACACGTACATGAGCTGTAGAGGAGTCAGAACAAACTCCAGCATAAACGTAAAATTGACAAGAAAAAGAGATTGAGGTGAAAATGCAAGTCTGTGCATCACCAGTAGCAGATTACTACATGTTGACCCCCCCCCCCTGCTGGCTCAACCTACGAGTGTCGCATCGAGATAATAACAAAGATTGGTAGATTGGTTAGCGATTAGCACCTGAACATCACTTGGAAGAAAAAGGTGGCACTTTGCGCGATTGCTGTTCATAACCAACATCATCTCTCAAATAATACATCGCATTTTCACGTCAAAATCCCCCAACCACAAAAATATGATCATAGTGATTTACAGTGCCATAAAAGTATGGTACTGTAATTCATAGCGACTCACAAGCAACCGCGTTTTCTGTGCGTGGGGTCGCTAGGTATTGTTCGCGTGTTCCAGCACATCATTTTCTGTTCACTGTGGCAGAGTGATAGAGATTAAGCCACCCAAGAGGTGGCACAGGCACGAATAACCCGTAACACTGTGGCAATTGGGGACGGGCTGATATAACACCGCTTGAATATGTTTCCAGTCGCACCGAGGGAAGACCACACAGCACCGCTCTGTGCCAGGTAAGTCCACTTCGGGCTCACCATAGCCCGTGCTACTTGGAACTTCTTCCGAGTAGCTGAATCTATAAAAACAACATAGGGAAAACGTCATCCCGGTACCTGGGAAAGCAGGAGGAGGGAGGACTGTGAAAATCTGGCGGGCGGAAACTGATAAAAAAAAATACAGATGTGAAAATGATTGGTTTTGGTGACGAGAAAACAATACCAGATAGAACACTGAAATATGGGGAAGCTGTAAATAATGAGGAGAGACAATGTGAGCAGAAAATTATTAAATGCAATGGAGAAAAGGGAGTGTTATTGCTGTGTAGAACTGTCAACAAATATTGAAAAGTGGTGCTGGGTTGCAGTATTGGGAAACGTATTGCACGGACAATGGTATAGAACCATTAGTCGCCAATGTGTGGCAGGTAAAGGACAAACGCTTGGGGCTAGCCT